CTCATCAGTGGGTCCCCCAGCTTTGCCTGTCTGCTTTCTGGTTGATATACCGATTCTGAAGCAGTGGCAAAACATGTGTCTGGGCCTTTTAGCTAGTACCTAGGCTGTTAGTATGGTAAGTTACAAAATCAAAGACAAGGGAGCCTGGAATGGCCATTTCTTGCTTATTAGCCGTCTTCAGCCAGCCATGCCCAACCCCAAGTCGTGCACCACCCGGGCTCAAACTCGCGATCATTTGATCAAAAGTCTAACACTCTAAATTTTGAGCCGGCTTCGATAAGGAGATGTGGACACTCGTTGATGAAAGTTCACCGATCGCTAACTATTTACAAGATCCATTTGTTAATTGCACACTTATTTATCCCAAATATGGCTTAGCGTATAACCTCTCGATCGTTGTCTCGTAGATCAGGTGGTCAGAGTGATGACTGTACTCAAGACATTTTCTTAGTGTCGTACGTCCGAACTCCAACCAAAACCATCGAATTTTCCACGATTGAGTCATATGAATCCTCGCAAAAGGCTGAAACTGATCCTATGTCACAATAAACGAGTTAAATAAGATTGCTGGTATATTATTGGCGAAATCACCCACTCCTACATAAAGTCTTCAGTTAGACCGAAAATAGAAGGGTTTGTGAAAAACGCTACTGTATCTTGATAGTATGGTGGGAGCCATTCTGGTGGATGCTAGATTATTGCTTAGAAAATTCTGCCGGGAAAGTCAGCTTACTGTATCCATAATGGTTGGGCATGTGAATCGACACAAGCTTGACTAAATTCAAAGTTTCGGCTACCTTCGTGGCTCATTGGTAAAGCGTTGGCTGCATAAAAGCCTTCCTTGTTGTTGTATGGGTTCGAATGCCACCGAGGCCGCGGCGTTTTCACAATTGGCTTAATTTAATTATTAAAATCTGCTAAATCCTCCTGATAATTTAAATATTAATCAACTGCCTAGCAAATTACTCGTTGATTGACGTTCACCGATCGCAAACGTAACAAATTCGTCCAGTGGAATTCATTCTGGGGTCCCGCCATCAGCTACACAGCAGCTTCTAATCCAGGCAGATAGCATTGCCTGAAGACTGGAATGGCCATTTCTTCCTTAGTAGCCGTCGCCAGCCATTCATACGCTGTCCCAAATTGTGCACCAGCCAAAGCTCGAACTCGCGACCCTTTTATCAGAAGTCTTACGCTTTAACCACTGAGCCACGAGACCGTTTACTTAGCAGTTTAAACGGGGAAGTATTTACACTCGTTGAATAAGTGAGTCATATGAATCGTCATGAATAGCTGAAGTTGATCTCAGACGAAAATTATTATGTCACCATAAAACGTATTGAATAAAAGTGCTTGCATATTATAACTGACATCACCCACTCCTACCTAAAGTATCCAGTTAGACAGAAAATACAAGGGTTTGCGAAAAAAAGCTAATGAATCTTGTATGGTGGGAGCCAGAATCAGTGTTCACAGTATATTTTTTGTGCATTCTTTTTCAATTCGATTACTCATCCCGGCTTGAGCTCTGCTCACTTGTACATGTACTTATCTTGTCGGTTAAGATTGGGAGATATTGACACTCGTTGATTAGCGTTCATATATCGCTAAGGATTTACCCGGCACGTTTCTTAATTTTTCACTAACTTATCTCAAATATGATTCAGCGTACAACTCTTAATGTAGTAGTAGTTTAGTGTAATGCTTTCTAAATCCACCCAAAACCATCGAATCTTCCACAATTGAGTCATATGGATAGTAACGATGTGGCTGTAACTGATCTCAGAGGAGAATTCATATGACACCATAAACGTTTTTAATGAAAGTATTGGCATGTTATTAGCGACATCACCCACTCCTAAATAAATTCTTCAGTTAGGCGGCAAATACCAGGGTTAAGGGAAAACCCTTGTGAATCTTGGCGGGAGTTAGAACGTCAGCTCAGTTTGTCAGTTCATATGAATGCTCCCGTGCCCACAACTCTCTCTACCGCATTTTGATGTCACTTGCAAGCCGCTCTAAACCGCAAATTCTGCTTCTATATGTGTCTGCTCTAGTACCTACCCTGACGGGCAGTCTTCAAGCACCCTGCCTATTGGAAAACCACGAAAGTGAGTACTGTGTGCGTGAGTTTTTACACAGTTGCATCTGGGGCTTACGTCATCTCCCCCGCACACACACAGTATGGCGTTCTGCTGATGAGTCTCCTGGCTGCTAACCACTGACGACGACGACGGCGGCGGCAACAAACACGATCCTGCACTTTTGACGCGTGCGTTTAAGACTGCCAGGGCTTTGCTCGCTCGCTCGCTCGCTTGCTCACTCTTAATTGCTGGAGTCTTGCGTGTGTGTGCGCATCTTGCGGCTCAAGGCGGCGTCGGCGCGGCAACTATCTCATCTCACTCCTTCCTACTCCTCCTCGTCATCATCATCAGCTGGCAACATGATGCTCAATTCTGCTCCCGTCGTGATTGATAATGGTTCCGGACTGTGCAAAGCGGGCTTCGCCGGTGAGGACAGTCCAATCAGCGTGTTTCCCAGTATCATTGGTCGTCCAAAGAACCCGCAGATGATGGTGGGCATCAGTCAGCAGGATCATTATGTTGGCGATGAGGCCCAGAAGATGCGTGGGGTGCTCACCCTGCAGTATCCCATCGAGTACGGTGTTGTCAAAAACTGGGACGATATGGAGAAGATTTGGAATTACACCTATCAAAATGAGCTGCGTGTGCGACCCGAAGATCAGGCCGTTCT